GAGCTCTCCAATTGAACACCGGCCATTTATTAGGTACACCTTGCTAGTACTGGTTTGGACCCCCTTTTGCCTTCAGAACTGCAATAACCCCTTCACGCCGGCTTCCCGGCCCTTTAAGAGTTTCAGAAGCCGGGAGGCGGGGCGGGGTTTAGAGTCATGTCACTCACATGATCGGGAAAGGTCCCGATCGAAAGAGGAGATTGGGACCTTTCCGTGAGTACCGGACATGTGTGCAGGGAGCGCGCAGGGCGCGCTCTCAGCACAAATGTTCTTTTTTAATGGAATGCGAATATGCCACGCTCGGCGTCTAGGTCCAGACGCCGGGAAGCCGCACATTTGCGTTCGGCCGGCGTGAAGAGGTTAATTCTTCGTGGCATAGATTCAACAAGGTGTTGGAAACATTCCTCAGAGATGTTGGTGGATAGTGACATGATAACATCACACAGTTGCTGCAGATCTGTTGGCTGCACATCCATGAATCTTTGATACAAGGCAGGATGGATCCATGTTTTCATGTTGTTTACGCCAAATTCTGACGCCACCATCTGAATGTCGCAGCTGAAATTGAGACTCATTAGATCAGGCAACATATTTCCAATCTTCTATTGTCCAATTTTGTTGAGCCTGTGTGAACTGTAGCCTCCATTTCCTATTCTTAGCTGACAGGAGTGGCACCCGGCGGGTTCTTCTGCTGCTGTAACCCATCTGCTTCAAGGTTCGACGTATTAAGCATTCAGTGATGGTATTGTGCATACCTTGTTTGTAACAAGTGGTTATTTGAGTTACTGTTGCCTTTCTATCATCTCGAACCAGTCTCACTATTCTCCTCTGACTTCTGGCATCAACAAAGCATTTTCGTCCACACAACTGCCACTGACTGGATACTTTCTCTTTTTTGGACCATTCTCTGTAAACCCTAGAGGAGATTGTGCGTGAAAATCCGAGTAGAGCAGCAGTTTTTGAAATACTCAGACCAGCCCCTCTGGCACCAACAACCATGCCACATTTAAAGTCAATTAAATCCCCTTTCTTCCCCATTTTTATTCTCGGTTTGAGTCTTCACCATGTTTAGATGCCTAAATACATTGAGTTACCGCCATGTGTTCGGCTGATTAGCAATTTGTGTTACCAAGCAATTGAACAGGTGTACCTAATAAAGTGGCCGGTGAGTGTATAACCCTACTTTACCCTATCCAAAAAAAAAATGTTTTGCCTACAGTTCTCTTTTAATAACTTAGAGCCCCAGAAATTTCCAATAAAAAATTCCACCTGCTGGGAACATTAGTGCAATCTACAATTGCAATTAACCTCAGTGGAAAACTGTATTTTTGTGATCAGTCTTTAGCCCACCAAAGATATAAGTGAAATTCCATTTGTTGAGAAAAACATTCCCCTCAAAGTGAACAATATCCATGCAAGAATTTCAGAAAACGTTTATATATAGTTTTTTGTTTCACCATGCTGTTTAGTACACTGATGTCAGAATGAAAAGATATACCTGTAACATTTGATGCTGGTTAAAAGCCCTTTTCACATGGGCTATACAATACAGTCTACTAAGATTTGTAATTTTTTTTTATGTAATGCTAAAAAATTTCATGAGGCAAATGGTGGAACCCCCAACTGGAAATAATGTTCTGATGGCCCTACTAATTACAAACACAGAGCTGAGTGCAGATGTGGTTGTAAAGGATATGTTGGGTAATAATATTCACAAGATAATTACACTTATCATAAATTATAGGAAAAGGAGACATGGTGGTAGGACAAGAGCCTTCAATTTTGAAAGAGCAAACTTTATTAAGCTGTGCTCCCTACTACAGGTTACTAAATGGGATCAAACTCCTGCAAACAAGAACACCAATGAAAGGTGCTTTAAAGACTTATTAAACAAGGGCATTAGTCAGTGCATTCCTAACAAACACACGCATGCATTGGTTGAACTGAATAAACTAGTGTCCTTTTTCAGTCTTACTATGTAACTATGGGGTTTATTTACTAAAGGCAACTATACTGTGCACTTTGCAAAGTGCAATTGCAGTCCACAAGAACAGTTGCTCCAGAGCTTAGTAAATGAGCAGAAGTTCTGCTGACTTCCATCATCCAATCACATGCAAGCAAAAATGCTGTTTTTTTAATTTTCCTTGCACGTGATTGGGTGTTTTTGCTAACTTAATCTGTACCTCATTTACTAAGCTCTGGAGCAACTGCACTTGCAGCATGCAACTGCACTGTGCAAAGTGCATGGTCTATTTGTCTTTAGTAAATCAACCCCTATGTGTTTTGCTAGGACAAAAAAAAAACTGAATACTGATTCAGATTACATCAGTGTTCATATCCATCTTCCAGTCATTTCACATCCATTTTTTAGGCTCCTTGCCCCTAAAGCTGTCCAGCTGCAATGTGTCCCTCCCAGCATTTTATTGTGCATGGCAGGGTCAGGTGCAGCATCTTCCTCTCTATCTCTGCTGCAGGCAGCCTGTCATAGTCTACAGCAGGCTTCAGCTGGTTGGGGTTGATGGCTGTGCAAAGTAGTACTGTGTGGGCATTCTGACACTAACTGAAGCTGAGTAACTGCCACTGACATCCCCAGTGACACTAATACAGTGATCAGTGCTAATAAAAAGCACTGACAGTGTACTAATGACCCTGGGCAGGAAGGGGTTAACATCTGGGGCAATCAAAGGGTTAACGGTGTGCTGTTTTACTATGTGCTGTGTTTTAATGTGTAAGCATGCTGCTTTGTTTTGCTGTGCTATGCAGAGCAAAACAAAGCAGCATGCTGGAGCTGACGGGGAGAGATCTGTATTGTTTACATACAGTCCTCTCCTGTCAGTGTTCTTTTGGCGATCGCTGGGTGCCGGCGGGGAATCTCCAATGGCGGCGCGGGTAGGGCGGCGCGCGTGCACGCCCCCTACCTGGAAATGTTAAATCACATATATATGTGATTTTGTGCAGCCCTGCCACCCTGTACCAGCATTGACAAAGCAGCATGCTGGAGCTAACAGGGGAGAGATCTGTATTGTTTACATACAGACCTCTCCCCTGTCAGTGTTCTTTCAGCGATCGCTGGGTGCCGGCGGGGAATCTCCAGCTGGGAACTGGTGATCGACAGCATGGCCGTCAATCACACACACACACACACACATATATATATATATATATATATATATATATGTGTGATTTTGCGCAGCCCTGTCGCCATTTAGCAGTATTTGTGCTAAAGGGCGGCACGGAAGCGGTTAATAACAAACATGTCATACTTATCAGCTTTGTGCAATGGCTTTGCACAAAGCAGCTCCAATCCTCCTCTTTTGGCCAGTGCTCCTCCCCACTTACAAGTGCCCCCATAGCAAGCCACTTTAGAGAGCTGTTGATGTTGGGTACCATTGCTGGATTGAGATTGGGCTCAGGTAACTATGGGGGGTGAACTGAACACAGAAGGTTTTTAACCTTAATGCAGAGAATGCAGTAGGGCAAAAACCTTCTACCTTTGGAACCAGTTTAAGAAGTATAAAGTGGTGCATCATTGGGTAATATTGAGATCCTGCTTTTACTCTTTATATACCCTTACTAGCAACCTTGGTAATATAGTTTTACGTTATGTCCACTTTAAAAGTTTTTTTTTAAACTTCTAAAAAGCTCACATTTATAATCTGAATTATATTTATTGTATTATGTGACTGTTTTACAAAGATTTATAACAGAGTGTTTCTATACTTAGTGTGTGCAGTGTTTGTTGGGATGGTAAATAAGGAAGCTCAGCACAAGCTCTGCATTCACTGACTGCTACTACACTGTAAATCTGGATGCCAATCCAACTGTATGTAGTCTATCTGCCTATGTGAGCCGGTGTTGAAAGCATAAAGGTATATCAGCTTTCTGAAAAACTGCAGAAAAAAAAACCCATATTTTCCGCCTTCTGGCTGAAAGTTTTAAATATAAAATATTCAATATCAATATTTTCATGTTTACTTGCTATCTTTTAGCCCAACTCCTGAAGATAATACATAAATATAGAAAATACATGGGACTGTAGGCAGTATTCTTTATTCTATACAATAAAAGACCACAACTCTTATTGTTTGGTGCTAACTTGGCCACAGCCATTTTATTTTTGGTTTAAATATCATTCTTTATAAAGCTCTTCATTTTTACATATTAGCTTACTAATAATTGGAAAACATTTTCACTTAAATTAAGCTTACTCAAATCCCCAGCTTAGTGACTACGACTCAAGCTGTACTTATTAACACAACACTTATCAACCCTACTCATTAACCATACAGCTTTTTGCAATTTACATACTTACTTATTCTACCATCATTTAATATGATACTTATGAATAATATTGGCCTCAACAAAAATGGGCGGGTGGGGGGGAGCACCACAGAGATGCTTCCCAGGTTTCTGTTTTTTCCGTTAACAGACCCCCCTTTTATAGCCCTCTCCTCTCTAATTCTTCTCTCTATTGGTCACTTTTTCTTCCAGGAATGTCCAGGGGTAGTAGGGGGCTAAAAACTCCCAATTTATAGAATCTTCCCCATTATATAATATACCCTGGGGGGGCTTAAAATTGTCCAGGTGTAGAGGGGGACTAAAACCTCCTATTTTTATAAGTTTCCTCATTATATTAGTATACTATGGGGGACTTGAAACTTTAGCAGTTTTTTCTCCTCCTCACACCACTGGGGGGGACTACTAACCTTCTAGAATGTTCCCCCACTGTATCTATACAGTAGGGGGACTTGAATCCTTATTTCCCCTGCCACAGTCCCATAAAAAAGGGGGGCCCCTATTAATTCCCCCTTTTCTTTTCCTATGGAAAACATATTACACATTTGCCTTAGGCAGCCAAAATATTGTACAAGCAGGTGCATTTAGCATAACCATCATGTCAACTCAAAAGGAAAGAAAACATGTACTGTACATCCTCCAACATGTTCCATAGATATATTTCTATTAATATTTGCTTTTGTATTTCAGATCGCCGACCCATCACAGTCCAAATTACTTGCTGTACTGCAGTGTCCAGGGCAAATATCAAATTTCCAATAGTAAGCTACAAGATCCAGCAGGTAGCTAATCGCTGCGTTTATGCCGTCATGTGAGTATTAAATAGTGTATGTTTCTTTTACTGGACTGGCAGGGACAGAATATAAGCTGCAAATGGGCTTATGTATGAAAAATGTGCTGACAAGAAAATTTGTGGCTGCTTGCAATCACCAGTCACATCCCAACTATGATTTCAGCAATGCAGAGTTTATAATGATAGTAATTTGGTTGGTTGCTAAAAGCAATAAAATATTCTGATCATACAAGTCCCTAGGAAGGCCTGCCTTCTACATGCTACATGAACACTTTTAAGGGGGATTTCCAGTTTAACCCCTTTTACAAACACCCAACACAAGTGTGGTGGCAAAAGGGTGGCCACACATATTCATCATTAGGTGGCTGATGTTCATGTGCACTGTGCATGTTCATTGCGTGTTCCCAGCACAAGGACCAAGCTGTTGAGGATAGCTCTCAGGCTGGGCTAAAGAAATTGGTGGCCAGCAGGATCTTTCCCAACCCCTCGGGCATTCCAAATGGTTTCAAGGGAAGTCAGGGTAGACGCGAAGGGGTTAAATAAAAATTCTCCATCTGCTTCTGAGCATTTCTAATTTTCAGTTTCACCTTATATCACACATTCTGTCATAGTGGGAATCTGTTAATGTTACAGTTTGTTAATGTATCACACATTGTCTGCTCTGACATACTGGTATCCTCTTCTTAATGTTTGAACTTCAGTTTGTTAGCCCTGTTTCACATATATGCGGCCGTGCGGGTCACGTTTTGCACGGGCACCAGAGCCCATTCATTTGAATGGACTCCCATGCCCTGTGATACGCAGAGAAGTCCTGCACTTCTTCTGAAAACGCAGCATGGGAACCGAAGTTCACAGTACGGTTGCGTTTTCCAGTGCAGGTGGCATGCCATTAGAACTAATGGCACCCGCCCGCGGGTCCGCATTCTTCTGTGCGGGTGGTGAGGCTGCACTGATTTTCGTGCGGATCCGCAGCGGCACTACCCGCACTGATGTGAACCTAGCCTCAAACAATGTAAGTAATTGGAAACAAGGCTTGCAAATTAAGATTTCCACTTATGGAAAATTCTTTAATAACAAAATGTCTGTTTTGTTGATGTCAAATGATCTGAGGCTGGTACAGGATCACAGGGGAAACCGTGATATCAGGTATTAATTAAACATTCTGAGCTCAGATGCATACATCAAAGCTACATTGGCTATTTGGCAGCTGTGGCATAACCAGAGGGACTTGTGTGTCTGAAGGTATTTTGGGGCCTAGTGTAAAGTGTATCTGGGCTGGTAACCTCAATCGGTCCTATTTTGTGACAAAAGCCTACCAGTCTGTAAATATTCTGCACTTGGGCCCTGCAGGACTTGAGTAGCAAGTTCACCACCTAAAGCTATATTCCGGGCAAACTAACTGTCATACTTTGCTTAGTTAGCATTAAAAGAGCCGCAATACAGTAATAAGTCATCCCTCTGCTCACTCTGCTCTCTCCTGCTATCAGCAAGTTCACTTACAGGACACATGAATGCAGCATAGACTGATTGGCTCTTAGTGCTGCTTCTCCCTCTCCTAGTGCTGCTTTTCTTTGGATTACATAAACTGAGATCAAGAGAGAAAACACATTTCATTATTTTCATAGTATTACTTGGCTGCATTAAACTGTGTTTCTCTGGAGATCAGCTTTAAGGGCATAAGTGGAAATGTATACATTTCTACCATCTGCTGCAAATTAAAAAGACTTAAATATATACAATGTTTTGCTCCATACATATTTGACCAAGTAAGGAGTAAATATTATGGGAGTTGTATGCACATTTTTCTAACTCAGTAATCCAGCATTGACTTGAATCTACCAAAATTATAAATTTTTATATACCGTCATTCCTTTAGATTCCGCACAGAGGCCAATGGATCCTTCTGTGCTGACCCCAAAGCCACATGGGTGCAGAAAAAAGTAAAGGAGCTGAGTGGAGGGACTGTCCAACTACCGAAGAGTGGTAAGGGTAACAAAGGAGGTAAAGGAGGAAAACGTGGAAAGAAGTCGAACAAAAAGAACAAAAAGAAAATAAAAAATAAGAACCCAAAGCTGGTAAGTAGTAAAATGAAATGCATTCTTAGCCTCATTTTAGAGATCAGTGAATTATAACCAGGGGTTCAGAGGCCTTTCAATACAGTACATACCTTCCACTGAACCTAAAGCGCCTACCGCTTCAAAATGCTTTTTTAATGTGTTTTTTTTATGCTTCTGTGATGCTTCAATGATGCTTTTTGAAGCTTTAATGAACCTTGGCAAATGCTTTATGTGTGTGTGTGTTGAATTTCAATTTGTTTTAAAGGGGCCCAGTAGAACCCCAGCTCAATAGTACCCCCACTCAGCAGACCCACAGCTCATTAGCACTCCAGTTCAGCAGATGCTCATCTTATTAGTACCCTTGTTCAGCAGATTCCCTGCTCAGTAGTACCCCAGCTCTGCTGATCCTCCAAACTCAGTAGTACCCCCAGCTCTGATGATGCCCCAAGTCACTAGTACCCCCAGGTTTGCTGATCCCCCGCTTAATAGTAACCCCCAGCTCTGCTGATCCTCCAAACTCAGTAGTACCCCCAAATCTGCTGATCCCACACTCACCTGTAACCCCCAGCTCTGCTGATCCTCTGGTTTGCTGATCCTCCTTTCTCTTTATTGCTCCTTTGCTTGCACCACCTGTGACATTGCTAGTTTCTCCTGCTGTGGACCCCCAGCTCTGCTGATCCTCTGCAGCTCAGTCCTCTCTCTTCAGTCTTCCACTATAATGTTCCCATGTAAGTTGGAGAGATGGACCTTGCTGGAGTTTGGCTTTAAAAGTTATTTCCCACTGGCATCAAGACTTTAGGAGTCACTGACTTGGAACAAGTATGTATTTAAAAAAAAAGAAAATGAATCAGAGGGGACAACATAAGGTCTCATGTACATGGGACACTTCTGAATGATGGAAACTGACTTCTGGAAAACATAGATTAAAAAACATCTGTTTAACCGCGTTTGCATACCTCGTTTATGCGCGTTTATGAGTGTTTGCGTTTAGAAGCGCTTTTTTTAAGATAACCTCAGGAGACCTTTCAAAATGCCAAGAAAGCACTGATAAACAGTAACAAATTAACTATTTTGCGAGAAATAGAGAGAGCAGAAGCAGAGAGAGCAGTATTTGTTGAGATTAGCTGTTTTTTTTTGTGTGTGGTGTTTGGATGTGTTCCAGTATCATTTCTGTGCAGAAATGATTGCAGCAGTGTCTAACATATTTTTTTTCATGCAAAACCTCAAAGTATGGTGTACCAGGTCCATTTGAGTACCGAGAAAACACTTTGCATGCATTTTTCATGATGAAAAAAGGCTTTGGACATCACCTGGAAATGGAAGAGTTAAAAAAAAATTAAAATGAAAACGCCTATAAACACGGTTAGCCGCGTTTACACGTGTTTGCAAGTGTTTTGCGTTTGAAACGCTGATAAAATCTACTGCTGAACGCAAGTTTTCTACTTGCAAAAAATTACTGTAAACTCAGCTGCCTGTAAACGACTGTAAACGATGATGTGTACATGGACACATACAGTTGTGACCAAAATTATTCAACCCCCAATGCTGTAAAGGGGTTTAGGGACTATAGTGTACATTTGGAATTGTATTCAGAATCAAATCCTACAAGGACGTTGTAACTACCCAAATGCAACTAAAATGACATCAATTGTTTATGTAATACAGTAGTAAATGGTTCTTATGTGGTTTCTTCATTGCCACAATTATTCAACCCCTTAAAGACTACCACTCTGAAGAACAGAGGTTCATACAGGTGCTTTCCATCAGGTATTGAAAACACCTGTGGATGTCACCGAGCAGCAATCAAGCATAATAAGCACCAATTAGGCAGCTTTAAAATGACTGTGATACTCAGCTCCTTCTAGACATTTACTGGTGTGGTTACAAACATGGTGAAGGCAAGAGAATGGTCCAGGAAGACAAGAGAAGAGGTGATTTCTCTTCACAGGAGGGCAATGGCTATAAGAAGATTGCAAAGATGTTAAACATACCAAGAGACACCTTAGGAAGCATCATTCGCAAATTCAAGGCAAAGGGCACTGTTGAAACGCTACTGGTCGTGGCAGAAAGAAGATGCTGACTTCGACTGCTGTGCGCTACCTGAAGCGTAGAGTGGAGAGAAGTCCCCGTGTGACTGCTGAGGAACTGAGAAAAGATTTGTCAGATGTGGGTACAGAAGTTTCAGCCCAGACAATAAGACGCACACTGCGTAATGAAGGCCTCCGTGCCAGAACTCCCAGGCGTACCCCCTTGCTGTCTCCAAAGAATAAGAAGAGTCGACTGCAGTATGCCAAAAGCCATGTGGACAAACCACAAAAGTTGTGGGATAGTGTTCTGTGGACTGATGAAACAAAATTAGAACTGTTTGGGCCCATGGATCAACGCTATGTTTGGAGGAGGAAGAACAAGGCCTATGATGAAAAGAACACCTTGCCTACTGTGAAGCATGGTGGAGGGTCAATCATGCTTTGGGGCTGTTTTGCTTCTGCAGGTACAGGGAAGCTTCAGCGTGTGCAAGGTACCATGAATTCTCTTCAGTACCAGGAGATATTGGATGGAAACGTGATGCAGTCCGTCACACACCTGAGGCTTGGGAGACGTTGGACCTTTCAACAGGGACAATGATCCCAAGCATACCTCCAAGTCCACTAGAGCATGGTTGCAGAGGAAAGGCTGGAACATTTTGGAGTGGCCATCGCAGTCACCAGACTTAAATCCGATTGAGAACCTCTGGTGGGACTTAAAGAAAGCAGTTGCAGTGCGCAAGCCTAAGAATGTGACTGAACTGGAGGCCTTTGCCCATGAAGAATGGGCGAAGATACCCGTAGATCGCTGCAAGACACTTGTGTCAAGCTATGCTTCACGTTTAAAAGCTGTTATAACTGTAAAAGGATGCTGTACTAAGTACTAAGATTGAATGTCACTTGGGGGTTGAATAAAACTGATAATGCTGTGAGCACAGAAAAGACATTTGTGGTTATTTCATTATAACTGTTATGTTATATTTGTCTGACCTACAAGTGCCTCTTTAATGTAAATGTAAGCAAGATGACTGAATGATCAAAAGCAATGTCAAACTGGCCAAAACACTCAATTTCAGTGGGGGTTGAATAATTTTGGTCACAACTGTAGGAAAACATTAGGGTGAGTTCAGGAGTTGCTGAAAAAAATGCTGAATAGCTCCTAAACGTGAGTTTATCAGCTGCAGTGTACATGAGCCCTAACAACCAAGCAAACAGCATTTTCAGAATGAAAAGTCAGGTAGGGCAATACCCAGTGGAAAGGTTTCCTGTAACACAAAAGCTGTAGCTTGCTGCATTACGTATGATGTGGGGTTCTCTGTCTCACACATGACCAACAGCAGATGAAGGTAAAGTGACAAAGCTATTTTGCCACATTATTTTTGCTATTGCTGTTTTTTTCCCCAAATTCTGGTGCATTAGTAGGAAACTATGGCATATTCATAAGCAGTGTCATTATCAGTCTTTATGGAAATTTCACAATTTAATATATATCACTGTTTAATAATATCATGCCTGAGTTTGAAACAGGAGCGGACTGACCATTTGGAAACTCGGGCACTGCCTGAGGGCCCGGGGTCAGTAGGGGGCCCCATGAGATGCCCCTGGTACCTTTTTCATAGGCTTTTTTGAGTTTGGGCAAGGAAACAGGGGCCCCATGATCCCCTATTGCCCGGGGGCCTCATGAGTTGTCAGTCCGCCCCTGGTTTGAAATGTAGATTCATAGAAAGCTGCAGCAATCTGTATGTTAAACAGTGTGATTGTCATATTTTCTAGACAACTGCTGGGGTCAAATCAATTAGCACATTTTGTGCGTATCATAAACTGATATACTTGCATTGAGAGAAGACCCTGACATGTCTCTAACTGAATCAAAAGGCCAGTTCCCTGCAAGAGAACGGGTAGCATTCTCCCCTAACCGGCAGAGTGTCTTCTACCTCTCATCCCTTCCAGTGCTACGGTTACCATCAGTTTCTTCCCCTGAGCTGCACTGGTACAGTTCAACAAGCTTCATCATTATTAAGTCCTGTAATGACATAGCCCAAAACATGGAAAGGGACACTGCAAGGGGCAGAGGAGGCTGCAGTGCTAAAACTGACCTGAAGTAGGAGACAATGGCCACCAGAGAGGTGAGCATATATTCTTCATTTTTTTATTTTGGGTAACTGGCTTTTTGATTAGTTGAGATATTAAACAGGTCCTTTCAAAGCATAATCATTGTACAGTTACTGTATATTAAAGCTTAACTCCAGGAATTATCATTTTTGTATATTTATATTGTTCTATCTTGGCACACAAAAGGCACACACTGGGGAAGCTAAAAAATCACTGTAGTAGTCATCGCTACTACTATGATAGCTGCAGACTCCTGGGCCCTGCTGTGTTCTATGAAAGTCACTTCCCTTCTGCCAGCTGACCACTGGGGATCATTCACTTGTCACGGCCCATATTCATAGAATGCCTTGTATTTTCTTCAATGAATATAATGCATTCTCTGATTGGACAAGGTGGGGAGGAGATGTTATGATCCCCCTTCATCCAAGCAGAAAACACCTTGTATTGTCAAAAAAATACCAGGCATTTTATGTATGGTGACTGTGCCAAGGGAGCAACCCCCTTGGGATTAGTGTGACGAAGGGAACCACTGACACATCCCAGAGCAGGACCTGAAAGACTGCAGCTATTGCTATAGTAGCACTAACTATAACAGTGAGTTTAGCTTCCCCAAGAACCCATCAGGAATCCGATATGTATATTTACATTGTGCCAAGCAGGACCAGTGTAAGTATACAAAACAATTTTAAATCCTGGAGTTCAGCTTTAAGTAGGAAACAGTAAAGAACCCATTTATTATGTACTTACTTGAATTTACACCCAGCGCTTCTGTTTATTTTATCCATTTTCTTTAGATGATTAGAAGTGATTTCTGTAAGGGATTATCTGCTACAGGTATCAATTACTTTGTACCATACTGCTAAATAAGCCTGCATGCCCTGTATTCAACAGATGATGTAATTTCTTGTGAAATCTTGTACAAAACTACAATAAATGGCTTTGCTGAGTGTAACTTGACTCTGGTGAGGCAGGGAGTGTTAGTTTGAGGAAAGAAAACTTGCAGCCATTTAAGTCAATTTTCATAAAGCAGGATTACATAACCTGGAAAGCCCCACAGTAGCCCCATATGGGGAAGTTCTTATGACAAGGCTTCAGCAGCGCTGCATTTCACTTATAAATGACATAATGATGTAATTACCTGTTTATACACTGAGAGAATTAGAACTGACTCTACAAGCTTTCATCTTCTATTCATCCACTCACAGAATATTTGATAAATGTAAACAGCAAAAAGTGAAAGAATGATATTTAAAACTGGATAAATACATACAGATAGAACTTGGAACTAGCTGCAGCTCTAATGTAACATACAATGGCTTTCAGAAAGGCTCAGATCTTTATCCTGGTGTGTTATACACAGAGCTAACACAGCAGGATAAAGATCCTTTAAAAAAAAATGCAGTTATTTTCAGCAGAGAAATGGGAAATGTGAAACTTACAGTCACATGGCTGAATAAAGATCCTTAACTTTGTGTTATATCTTTGAGGATTGAGCCTATTGCAATACATATCTACACGCCTCTGTGTTTTTTTACGCCTTTGTGTTGTGTATACTGCAACCAATAAAATATATTTTTTAAATTTCACCTGCCCTTATTGACTAGCTGTGTATGAATACAGGGCAGGCAGATTTTTTTATGTGTGACTTCATATATGGGACATTATGAGGCATATAGTTTTGTATTGGTTTTGTGCAGAGTGGGGAAGTCTTATTAGACCTCCTGCTAAAACTATAATGCTCTCTGTATCTCCACCAGTGGACTGGACAGGTAGGGGCTGATTTATTAAAAGCAAATAAGTTCTTCACTTTGCAACTGAATTTTACGCAGAGCTTAATGAATGTGATCAAAACTCACTTAGATAAGAATACTCCATCATGTGCAAAGAAAATAAAAAATTGTTTATGACAGACCATGAAAGGAAGACACACACTTAAATATTAGTACAAAATGGTGTCTATGTGCCTATGGTGTGACCGTGGGTGTGCATTTTTGTGTGTCACATTTAGGGCACCTTATTAATTTTAATGGGCTGCCCTACATGCCAAAATGACATAGAAAAAAGTGGATTACCGTTTGAAAAAAATCAGGCAGCATGAGCGTGCACAATGGTTACTAAACGTTTTGGTGTGTGCAAACATACGCATTAGCAAGGTGCGTGGAGGTGATTTTAACAATGGCACCACTGCGCGTTTGCAAATGCAAAGCGCATTCCCGCAATACACAAATGTGAACCTGGCCCCCTCTCTTAGGATTAACTCTTTACTTGAAATTTCCTTGTTAGCCTGGTCCTCACCTGGTTTAGAATATCGTGATAATACATGATTGTGATTGAATATTGTGATAAAACATAATACTACATGAGATTATCTTTCTTACTGATAATATCAATGTACAGTCAAGATTTGTACAGGGAAAAGCCGCCTACTGGCCCATACTCAAAATCAGACCTAGAGAAATAAAGTTAATTTCAGGAGGAATACATAAAAAGTTGACCCACCCACACTCCTTCATTTAATGTGCCAAAATGGGGTTAGAGTGCATTAAGAATGCCACAGCAGCTTGGTGGGTTAGGAAGTTTTTTGGGGTCTGTGGAAGTGTGGGACAGTTACAAAATGGAGGCCCATGTAGTAGTATGGTGCTTACCCTTTTTCGTGTCAGTTCTACCAGGGGTTCAGTCAATTTGAAAGTCAGAAAGTGATTAGTTTGAAATTTGGGACTGTCCTCAAGCAGGTGGGATGTGGTGGGAACAAAAGTGGAACTTAGTCAAGGCTTTAGGCTAACAGACACCAAAGACCCCCTTCTGATAACCAACATTTATCATGTTGTGTACTGGGTACAGTTTAAAGCTGATGTTTAGGTATTATTATTATTACAGGTACTTATATAGCACCATCAATTTAAGCAGAACTTAACATATGTATTGTACATTCACATTAGTCTCTAACCCTCCAAGAGCGTACAATCTAAGGTCCCTAACTTAAATTCATACATACACATACTAGGGCCAATTTTAGATGGGAGCCAAAACCTACCAGCATGTCTTTGAAGTGTGAGAGGAAACCGGAGTACCCTGAGGAAACCCACACAGGCACAGGGAGAACATGCAAACTCCAGGCAGGTGGTGCCATGGTTGGGATTCCAAACGGCAACCCTAGTACTGCCATGCAGAAGTGTTAACCATTTAGCCAACGTGCAGGTATGGCAATTTTCAGCTTGGTAAGCATGTGCCATAGCTCTGTAATCCATGAGGAAATTGGAAATCTCTATAGTAGGAACTCCTCCCAGTAGCCAGTAGCTTATGGGTCCTGTACTCGACACAGATACTAGTCAGAGAACACTTTGCAGTTTTTCAATGAGTGGAAAACATTTGAAAGCGTGGTAATCCATTTAGGGAATGCAAAGTGTTTCCTGAAAGACGCCCATGCCAAGCAATCAGCAGGGCAGGCATTCTGCATGGGAGCCGAGAGATAGTGGAGATCATTGTAGTAGGGGATCCTACAGGTATGCAACATACATACTTACACTATATTGCCAAAAGTATTAGGACTCCCCTCTGAATCATTGGATTCAGGTGTTCCAATCACTTCTATGGCCACAGGTGTATGAGATCAAGTACCTTGGCATGCAGACTGCTTCTACAAACATTTGAGAAAGAATGGGTCGCTCAGTGAATTCCAGCATAGTACCATGATAGGATGCCACCTGTTTAATAAGTCCATCCATTAAATTTCCTTGCTATTAAATATTCCACAGTCAACTGTTAGTATATTATAACAAAGTTGAAGCAACTGGGAACAACAGAAACTAAGCCATGAAGTGGTAGGCCACATAAAATGAGTTGGGCCAGTGCATGCTGAAGCATACAGTGTGCAGAAGTCACCAACTGTCTGCAGAGTCAACAGCTAAAGACCTCCAAACTTCATGTGGCCTTCAGATTAGCACAACAGCAGTGTGTGTAGAGAGCTTCATAGAATGGGTTTCCATGGCCAAGCAGCTGAATCCAAGCTGTACATCAAGTGCAATGCAGCACGTTGGATGCAGTGGTGTAAAGCACACCATCACTGGACTCTATAGCAGTGGAGACATGTTCTCTGGAGTGACGAATCATGCTTCTCTGTCTAGCAATATGATGGACATGTCTGAGTTTAGCGGTTGCCAGGAGAACGGTACTTGCCTGACTGCATTGTGCTAAGTGTAAAGTTTGGTGGAGGGGAATTTTGGTGTGGGGTTGTTTTTCAGGGGTTGGGATTGGGCTTGGCCCCTTAGTTCTAATGAAGGGAACTCTTAAAGCGTCAGCATACCAAGACATTTTGGACAATTTCAACTTTGTGGGAACAGTTTGGGGATGGCCCCTTCCTATTCCAACATGACTGCACATCAGTGCACAAAGCAAGGTCCATAAAGACATGGATGAGCGAGTTTGGGGGGAAAGGAACTTGACTGGCCTGCAGAGTCCTGACATTAACCCAACAGAACACGCTTGGGATGGATTAGAACGGAGACTGCAAGCCAGGCCTTCTCGTTCGATATCAGTGCCTGACCTCACAAATGCACTTCTGGAAGAATGGTCAAACATTCCCATAGACACATTCGTAAACCTTGTGGACAGCCTTCTCAGAATAATTGAAGCAGTTATAGCTGCAAAGGGTGGGCCAATTCAATATTGAACCCACAGACTAAGACTGGGATGCCATGAAAGTGTAAAGACAAGCGTCCCAGTACTTTTGGCAATATACTCTATATTGGTCCACACTGGACCAATGTATCTATGTAAAAATTGCTATATCTAAACATCAGCTTTAATTTAGTTATTGTATTTATGAAATTGTTAAGTTAAATTCCAGTTGAATCCTCTTTTTTATTACTGTAATACAGACAGGCTGCACAAATGCTACATTTGCTCCTCTTTTAGGCTTATGCTTTTCTAAGTGCTACAGAACAGACTAAAATACAAGTCCAATGTCAGCTGTAGCACATGGTAGTCTAGGTCTCCAATGATCTGACATGCCTCCCTTCACACTGTTTCAATCAAAAATGTTGCTCAGTGAGTTAGGACATGGCTGATTGAAGAAGTGTACAGGGATATGCTTTGGCTTTAAATAAAACCCATATTTTTTGTCCCTGTATTTATTTGGGTCAGTATGGGGGCAAGTTAACAAATCTGTCAGTTATGGTAAATCCAAACTTGTTCTTATGGTTAGAGGTGCTTGCAAAGTGACGCATCAATCATACCCAAAGTATTACCACATGATAATGACCTTCAACTTCTTGGAAAACAAGTATAGAAACAAATGTCTGTAGAATATCACACTTAACTTCACACCTTTTTTTTCTTCCAGCCTGTGACGTCCCCCTGGTTTCCATCCACAGCTGCAGCCACTGTTCAAACAATCTCTTAAGTGAATGACATGCAAGCAATTTCTGCACTAGGCCACAGCTGGACTGCCCCCTACAGACTGTTCTCAAACAATGCATCTGCTTCCAGGAGACATTTCTGTATTTATGTGTTTTTTTTATAAGCTAGTTTTTATAGATTTTATGTATTTATTTGCTAACTGCATTTTGTAAGTGCAAAAGTTTGCATATTAAGCTGTAGTTTTAGTAATATATCAGTATTGATAAAACATATATTGGATGAATGATTCACAATGCAAGCATTTCTTTCTGGATTCAAAGGCAATTTTTTTTTCCGTTCTGGATACATGTGGGAAAATTATTTAGATCCTCTATTGCTAGTTTTTTTAGCAATTATGAATATGAAAGCTAAATCCAAAATTTAGAGCTGTCATCAGAACAGGAATAGAAGAGAATTACTCAAATGAGAGAACTATCTAATAAAAGGGCTTTCCTCATTTTGGGAAGTTTTAATTGTACTACATGTTTAGTCTCTAAAACAAGAAGTGCATAAAAATCTCCCAAAAAAAGGCAATGAAAAAAAAAGAGACTTGATAGTGAATTTACCATTTCCTAAACTACCCAAAACAAAAAAGATTGCTTTATATAAAATGTAAATAAAATTGTTCAGTCCTCTGCTACCACCCCAACATGGTTCCCATCTTTCTCTATAGTAATTCTCAAAATTAGGCTATTGGTACCCACATTTTTTCAATAAGAATAACGATAATTATAGATCTGATTGTTTTCACTGAAATGGCAAAACTCACCAGTATCTACAGTGACTTTGTCCCCAATTTTGTCAACAATTCCATATAGCACATGCACAGTGAGAATAATTCTTCCATTTTTTTCTACAAGCACTTTTGATGCTTGGCAAGTGCCATTATTTTATATCTAGGGTTAAAGCTTACAGGGCATGTTTGTTAAAAAAGATTTTAGCAAATCGATCACAACTTCTGAAGAACACATCCTGTATGAAGGACTTATTCCAAGACAAAATGTTTAGCCAACCTGTTTGTTTACCCAGCCTCCATGTAGAGCAGAGTTTACCCACACGGTGTTTCACCCTAGATGTTTATACTGCTACAGGGATGGGCTCTCCTGTCCAAAATCATATAATATATATACATATATATATATACACTTGCAAGAAAAAGTATGAGAACCCCTTGGGATTACGTGGAGTTTTATGTTTAATAAAATGACTTCTCCCAGAGATCTATGAGCCAGGAATGAGCCCAACCGTTGACTCCAATCCACTTTCCCCACTTCACCCTATAGCAGTTTTACTGCTACAGGATGGCTCTCCTGTCCAAAATCTAACATATATATAAGGAAAACATTAAACAAGAATAGTATATATATATATTGCAGCACGTTTGAAGTATATACATACACACACCAGACATGTCATTTTACACTTCGGGGGCTGCTTTGCTGCCTCACGAGGGTGTCAGTGCGTGCTTCTGTGAGTCCCAGAGTAATTGGATCTTTCAGAGTGGCACCTGAAGAAATCCTCCGGCGGGTAGGAAAAAGAGCACAGCTGGGACTACATAGGTACAGCTGTGTTGTGTGACAGGGGAAATCTAATCATGGATAATGTGTCCTTTTATGCAATTCTTGCAGCTGGGAACAACGATCTATCACTTCCCCTTGTGCCAGCACCAGCAGCTAGTGTACAACAAGCACATAGCTAGGCACACACTTAACCCTTTGATCACCACTTAGATGGTAACCCCTTCCCAACCAGTGGCATTAGTACAGTGATCAGTACATATTTTTAGCACTGATCACTGTCTTAGTTTCACTTGTTCCCAAAAAGTGTCAGTTAGTATAACAGCACGAAAACGCATTTCTGGAGTGGCCCCAGTCAGAGTCCTGACCTCAAACCCATTTGAATATGCTGTTATGATGACCTTAAAATTTGATGAGCGAATTCCCACCAGACATCAAAATGTCCGCTGCAATTTCACAGTCCCACTATAATTCACTAGAATAAAAAAAAAAAAAATTCCAGCATATGTCCCATAGTTTGTAGACGCTAAAACATTTGCGAAAACTAATCAATATACGCTTATTCAGGTTTTTTTTTTTACTGAACATATGTAGCAGAATACATTTTTGCCTAAATGTAAGAAGAAATTTGAATTTAAAATGTTTTTTATTGGATATGTTTTATTATTGTTAATAACGCAAAAAGTAAAAACAGCAGAGGTGAGCAAATACCATCAAAAGAAAGCTGCATTAGTGGAAAAAAAGGACATAAATTTCATTTTGGCACAGTGTTGCATGAACACGCAATTGTCAATTAAATTAACACAGCGCCGTATGGCAAAAAATGGCTTGGTCAGGACAGAGGGTAAATCTTCTGGAGGATAAGTGGTTAATTGTGGTTTGATGTCTTCTTGCATGTCGAGTTTTATTTTGTCTACGAGCTTTACCAAACATTTTGTAATGCACTTTCAGTTTTATTTTTCTCTCATTGACAGTGTTGGTTCTGTTCATGCAATAAACTTTTTTGTTTAAAAATTGTATCTGTTCTGTGAGCATACCTGAATACAGTAAAGCCTTATCTATAGAAGAAAATAAATTGCAAACAGAAGCTGTTTTGCAGCTTCCTGCTTCTCGTGTTTTTGATCTAGCATGCTGACCTTTTCTGAAGCTGGAAAATGCAGGATTGAAAAATAGAAAAAAAAAAGAAAAAAATTTAAATCCAAAAAATAGAAATCCAGAAAAAAGCAGTTTTAATCTAAAAAAAAAAAATCAATGTGGAAATTAGAAAAAGAAAAGGCCCATATTACAGGTATACAATTTCTATGGTGCTGTAGCAATGCCGAGAACTTTTTTTTCTAATTTCATCTCTTTACCAATTCTGCATATTTCAAATGTTAATAAATATCAGATTCATGTTCATAAAGATATAGTTATACTGCCACCTTCAGGTGTCTGGACACTAGCAAAAAAAAAAAAAAAAACAGGAAATCCCCGTCCTGACAAAACCACTCTCCATTAGGCAATGCTCCAGTTTTTGCAGCAAACTATGAACTACAAGGTATAGGTCCAGGATCTCTGTGTCCTGTGATTTACTGCAACAAACGGATTTTACAGGCAAAAATCTGATTTTTCTTTTTGCACATCCCAGGACACAAAGCATCTCTTCAAATTCATGATGATAGGAATGTCCTACAGGAAATGAGGGGAGGGCAATGTGGCAACCAGTCACTCAACCCACAAACCCAAAAAGGTAAGAACATCACTCAGCAGCCTGCAAAATTCACCAGCCAGAGGAAGCATTCTCAGTGGCACAACATCCACTTGGTAAAAGTATGAACTGAAGACCAGGTAGAAGCTGAATACACTTGAGCTACCAAGGCCTGAAGATGAATAGCTCAGGAGCCACCAACACTCCTATCAGAATGGACCCTCACCAGAAAAAAACCCCACCTTCTAAGCCATAAGCTTGAGATATACATTGCTGTATCCAATGAGAAATGATAGATTTGAAAGCTGTGTGACCCTTCCCTGATCCTTCAGTAAGCACAAAGAGCAGTTGACTTCAGGTACCATCTAATAGAAACCAAATCCAAAAGGTGTGAAGGGCCTTGAACCCCGTCATCTGAGGGTTGGGACACGAGGATGGCAACACAATGTCCTGGTTGAGATGGAACCAAAATGGATGGATGAGGCCATAAAACTACCTTGGCATGGTGGAGTACCAGGAACAGCTTCTTACATGAAAGAGCAACCAATTCTGAAACTCTGAGAGCTGAAGTAATGGCATCCAGAAAAAACTCTTTTGAAACAGAAGGAACAACAGTACATCTCAGACGGATTCAAATGGAGAATTCTGCAATAGGGAAAGTACCAAGTGGAGGTTCCATTGTGTCAACAGAGTCTTAAAGCAGAGCTCCACCCAAAAGGGGAAGTACTGCCTTAAAGACTGGTCCCCTGCTCCTCATTAAGGATTGGCACCCTTGGGGAGTGGTACCTGAAATTGACTGGTACCCATTCCCACTTCCGCTTTCTGCTGCGATTGCCTATGTGATCAGAAGTGGAAGTTGTCTTCCACCCTCCCTCCCTGTAGTCTTCTGGGACACGTGACAGGTCCCAGAAGACTATGGGACCATTCAGAAAGCACAGCGCTACTCACGCAGTGGGCACTTGGCTGTGAAGCCGCAAGCTGGCACAGTCAGGTGCCCACATTGAAGATGACGGAGCTGGGAACACCGGACGGCTGGTGAAACGGATTGCGGGGAAGACATTGCGGGATTGAAGGACAGGTGAGTGACTGTTTTTTAAAAGTCAGCAGATACAATTTTTGTAGCTGCTGACTTATTTTTGTAGCGTGTGACTGGAACTCCGCTTTAACTGGTAGAACAATGTGCACAAAAGTCCACACCAAAGAGTGTGAGGCAATTGTTTTCTTGAAAAAAAAACAAAAAATGCCTAGGCCTATACTTGACCTTTACCACCCCTGATCTATTCCTGACTGGGGAAAGCCAGAATTTGGCCAACCACATACTTGTGAGGGTGAAACCCCTGAGTCTCACACCTGGAAAAATAAACATTCCAAGTCTGATTGTGACAAGCTTCCAGTGTGCAGTAAGCCATTTCAGTACAGGAGAGGAGCTGGTACAAATGTGCAAGACTAAGGGTAAGGCTAGAGGCTTTAGCTTTAACTCCAGCTTTAAAGGGTCACTGAACACTGAATATAAAAATCCCCATTTCCACTTACATTTGAAACTCACACAGAAGTCAGATACAAAATGATGATCCACTGAAAGTGTTCATTATCCAGCCTGAGAGGCAGAATTTCCACTTTGCTGTGCCCTGTACTTTTTAGAACCTGCAATTCACTCAGGACACACGTTCCACACTTGGCATCCTGCATGCATCTGTAGTCTATTTGCAGAGTGCGCTGGGAGATCTAAACCCTAGAGTAAACACGATCTCTCGAGCTATCATCCCCAAACCTTGTATTTGTGACTAAATGTAATTGGCAGCTTCAGCTACCAATAGCATGTATGGGACAAAACAGTAAACCAACTTGCAAGTATCCATTTAAATTTACACAATGATTTTTTGCAGCTTTCAGTACAAGTATGGAAATAAACAAAGTATACGTACATTCAGAACAGGGGGCAGTTTAACAGCTTTTTAGAAGCCACATGTTTAACCACTAGCCTACAGGGCACTTATACCCCCTTCCTGCCCAGGCCAATTTCCAGCTTTCAGCGCTGTCACACTTTGAATGACAATTGCGCGGACAAACAACATTGTACCCATATGAAATTTTTATCATTTTTTTTGTGACAGATAGAGCTTTATTTTGTTGGTATTTAATCACCTCTGGGTTTTTTATTTTTTCTTAAACAAACCAAAAACCACTGAAAATTTTGAAAAAAAAATGTTTTTTCTTAGTTTTTGTTATAAAATTTTGGAAATACGTGATTTTTCTCCTTCACTGATGTGCGCTAATGAGGCTGCACTGATGGGCACTGATAGGCTGCACTGATGGACACTGACAGGTGGCACTGATGGGCACTGATGAGGAGGCACTGGTAGGTGGCACTGATGGGCATTGACAGGCATCACTGATGGGCACTGAAAGGCAGCACTGATACATGGCACTGATAGGCAGCACTGATAGGCGGCACTGACTGGCACTAATAGGCGGCACACTGACCGGCACTGATAGGCGGCACTGACTGGCACTGATAGGTAGCACTGACTGGCACTGATAGGCAGCACTGACTGGCATTGATAGGTGGCACTGATAGGTGGCACTGATTTGCAGCACTGATAGGTGGCACTGACTGGCACTGATGGGTGACACTGAAAGGCAGCTCAGATGGGCACTGATATGTGGCACTGGTGTGCATGTGGCACTGGCACGAGGCACTGACATAAGGCACTGATGGACACTGACAGGTGGCACTGCTGGGGCTACACTGATCATCAGGGCATACTGATCATCAGTGCCCTCCGCGGAAAGCCGATTACCAGCTCTCCTCTCGAGCTGTCAGCGTGACACCTCGAGAGGAGAGAAATGCCGATAACCGGCATTTCCTGTTTACATGTGATCAGCTGTGATTGGACACAGTTGATCACATGACCGAGCCGACATCTTCGGCTCTTTCCATGATCCGCTATGTCCGAGGGACACAGCGCACCGCCGATTGCCGCGCTGCGTGCTCTGTGAGCCACGCATCCACAGTGAGAATGGGAAGATGTCATATGACGTCCTCCCAGATCGAGAGAACCACCTTGCGTCTGTCATATTACTACGGGAGGTGGTTAAAGTGTTTGTAAAGGCTAAAGTTTTTTTTTCTACCTTATTCTCTGCAAAAGATGAAACACTTTCCATGACAAGCTCATCAAGATAAAATGACCCAGTGAACAGGAAACTGTCCTGATTACCACAGAAATACAAGGGGGAGGGGAAATCCTCTTTTGGATGGGACTTTAACGGCACATTTCTCAAGCAATAATTTTTTTTTAAAACAGTATGCAATTTTATTTTTTCAAACTAGAAAACAAACATGAAGCTACAATACATATTGCGGCGGTATCATCAAAGATGGTATTACAAATCTAGTCATGGATCAGGCATGGGTCGCACTTGACGCGTTTCGAGTTCAACAAAAATCTCTTCCTCAGAAGTGCTCAAGATGATTCCATGTGAGGTAAAAAAATGCCCTAAATGTTTTTTTAAAAGAACTAATTGTTATATGATACAGCTAAGGACTCCTCATATGTGTCAGGCAAAAATAATAAAACAAAACAAAATATGGTAAAGAAAATAAAAACTGAACCAGTGAAGGATAGATGCCACCCAAAATACCTCCTGAAGGGGCCCCGCCCAAATGCACCAACAACAAGATTGCCTGCTGGCTGATACTGATGGGGCAGTGTATGAGTGTGAAGCGATGATCACAAGAAATTTTGTGAGAAAGTGTTGATGGCCTGATAAAAATCAGGACTGGGATGTAAAAAACAAACAGCCCACTATGAGGCAGTGTACCAGGTCTATCCAAAGAGGCAAGCCATCAGTGGGAGGGGGGAGGGGGAGGGGGGAGGTAATAGATACATTTATGTGAAAATTTATGTAAAAATTTGTGTTTTGAAATGTTTGCTATAAAGTCGATTTTGTAATAAAAAAAAAAAAAAAAAAGGTATAATAATAAAAACAACATGACTCTTTACTACTTCCCCTTTGATGTTTTTGCTGCACCCTTGCACTCAAACCTGTTTTCATGGCCAATAATGCTATTTAGATTTCTCTGGCTGTCTGTTTCCTATGCCTCTGTGACCAAGCCCCTGATGGGCGGGGTGAAACACATCAGAGGGCGTGGCTGGAGTGGTGGCTGAGGCCATCTACATCTTGCCCTCATTGTTTGACTTGGGTTTGAGCAGACTCCGCTTCTTCATACATCGGTTGGGATCGTGTTTGAGCGGTGTCCGCTTCTTCATACACCGTATCACTTTCCAGCAAAAATTGTTGTTTTTTTGCACTTGACCTATGCTAATTGCTGAGCTATTGATTCCAGATTTCAATTTCCTCCTTCTCAGTGCTGGCCTATGGAGAGAAATATTAAGCTAGCATGGCACTGCAGTTTGACTTATGAATTAAGAAGATATACCACCCTTGGCAACCCGCATACACACTAACTCCACCCACCCCCTTCATTCATTCACAAAGGCAATGCAGCTTTGTAAAAGAGAGGGCGAGGGAAGTTAGTGTGTATGGGCATTGTTACGGGTGGTATATCCTTCTGAATGAAACCCCCGGCTTCACTCATACAAGTATATACAGTGTACACAGCACACATTAATGACAAGCCCAGAGGACCTGGATGTGTCTGATAGTGGGAAAGTTGCTGGTGGTCTTGCATGACACTAGGCATTATTATGACTGGATGTGTAGCAGCTCTCATGATAATTATGTATAGTTCACAGGCTTAGAGCATTAAGGGGTTCAAGAGGGTTGGATTGCTACAATAACCCTGCAACCAGGGGCGGACTGACAACTCATGGGGCCTCTGGGCAATAGGGGATCATGGGGCCCCTGTGTCCTCACCCACACTCAAAAAAGCCTATGAAAAAGGTACCAGGGGCATCTCATGAGGCCCCCTACTGACCCTGGGCCCTCGGGCAGTGCCCGAGTTTCCAAATGGTCAGTTCGCCCCTGCCTGCAACACAGTATAGTCATACACATAGACAAATGAAGCTTTAAAAACCATAAAGCACTGCTTGGAACATCCCTTCCAAGCCTTCGTGAAAGTGAAACACATTTCAGGTATTTATATAGCGCTGTTAATTAATGCAGTGCTTTACATATATATTGTACATTCACATCAGTCCCTAACCCTCAAGGGGCAGACAATCTAAAGTCCCTAGGGCCAATTTAGAGAGGATCCAATTAACCTACCAGCATATCTTTGGAATGTGGGAGGAGGCTGGGGTATCTGGAGGAGGCCCATGCGGGCACAGGGAGAATATGCAGGCTCCAGGTGGGTGGTGCTGTGGTTGGGATTTGAACCCACAGCCCTAGTGCTGCCAGGTGGAAGTGCTAACCATTTAGCCACTGTGCTGCCCCACATGATACCCACCCTTCTACCAGAATCACTTTAAGTAAAGGACATAAAGTCAAAGCAGTTAACTTAATAAAAGTATATAAAATATTTATCATGTTATGTCATGTTATGTTTATCTGTGACTTAAAACTGATCTCCATGTTTAATGGCCCTTTAATAGTTTTTTGGACCAAACTAGCCCAAAGAATGTATTTACTGCACTGACAGGTGTGCTTGCTAGGCACCCTATGTTAACTGTATGTAGCCTCAGCTACATTTAGTATACAGCGTTGTGTTCCAACATGGGGACAGAGGCTTCCTGTCTGCCTCCTGAAACAAAACAGGAGTTGGGCTACTTAGCCATTTGTTTTGTATGAATCATTCCTAGAACATAAAGCTTCTCATGAACAGCATGAATGAATGGCACTCAGTCCAACTCTATTTTGTTCTGGGAGTGAGACGGGAAGTCCCTGTCCTCCTGCTGGAATACAGCGCTGTATACTATATATAGCTGAGGCTGCATACATTTAATACAGCGCACCCAGCAAGAGCAATAGTTAGTGCAGTAAATAGTTCATTTGGGCCAGCATTGCCTAAACCAGTGTTTCTCAACTCCAGTCCTCATGGACCCCCAACAGGTCATGTTTTCAGGATTTCCATTATTTTGCACAGGTGATTTGATCAGTTTCACTGCCTTAGTAATTACCACAGCTGTTTCATCTGAGGGAAATCCTGAAAACATGACCTGTTGGGGGTCCATGAGGACTGGAGTTGAGAAACACTGACCTAAACTAACTATTTAAAGGATCATTAAATGTGGAGATTAGCTTTAAAGTGTTACTAAACCCACAACAGTAAAATCAGCCTGTATATGCAGTAAAGCACGCTTGTTATACTCACTGTGGAACATAAGGGGTTAATCCTCTGCATTGTGTAAAAAGGCTGTTTTATCCTGACTTCTCTGATCCTCCCCTTCTTCCAGTGTCCTCCTCTTATCTCCTGATGAGACACTCCGCACATGCTCAATTTGGTGTGTATTGCTAGAGGGCTTGAAACACCTGAACAGGACTCATCTGGGATAAGACAGCAGGACAGGCAAGTGGGGAACAAGGTAAGTGACTTTCTCCCTTCTACCAATCATATTCTGGAATTGCTTTGAGAATGTTTTCCACTTGAGAAGTACACATTGGTTGACAGTTGATGTATTTGATCTAATTCTGAAAGTGGCCAGCATGAGTATATGATCATGTAAGGGGAAGGATTTGCTATTTCAGAATAGCTGATTGAGATAAATTCTGATATATAATGAGATAGATCGCTATGTATCATACATAGGACTTACCTAATATTATCTGGAGTTCAGTTTTAAAGACCATATTTATATTAAGATTATGCACCAGGGATTCATCTTTAAACTCTCTTTTCTTCTGGAATAAAGGCCAATGTAACTCTCATTTTAGAATTAAACCCACACTGGGGATAATTTACTAAAGTAGTGGTGCATGTTCACATTCAAAGTGAATTTTTCTTATATTCAGGCATAGCCCTGATGCAAAAATTGATCTGGCCCCCCACTACCACCTAAGGCTTCCACTGTGCGCCAAGACGCTCCCAGTGGGCTTGTATGTAAAACAGGATATTCAGAGGACTCGGCCTGGGGTTGGTGGACCCACAGGTCATCTGACTTCCAGATTCACATACAAGCCCACCACTTTCACCCGGCAGCTCATAATATGGCCTTCCTGCCCCCGCTATGTGTGCATAGTCGAAGCTGTTCTCAAGCTGGGCAGGGGGGCTGAGCAGAGAGTGGAGAAACGTGGGTGTACCTGGGCCCTCTGATTTTAATGAATTACCTACTCAGGGTGACACGGCAAAAGCTCACTAGCAACACAGTGTAAAACAGGGGTATCAATCACTCACCATGTTCATTCAGAAAAGGGGACTGTAAATAAAATATTTACCATCTATTTTTTTACTTTTTTTTTTTGCTGCTGTGATACAACCTCCTATTAGAGGGTGACAGCCACCAGAGGGTAGTCACCTTTTCCTTCTCACCTTCGAGGTGGACTAGGGACTATGAACTGTGGGAGTGTGCATAAACCAGTGATATGATTGCCACTAACCTGCACTCTTTGAAACAAATTGAAGTGGGGCTGAAAAGGAGAGGTTCAGGAGCTCACAGAGGATGTTACATGAAGGCAGAAAAACACAGTAAGGAAGGATGTGTATGGGTTTTATTTTAATAAATAAGGATATCGTTTAGTATCACTTTAAATGAAGCACTACAAAGAGCCACAAGATGTCAGCAGACACACATCACATCCTGAGGTTCGTGTTACAGTAGCCAGCAGCGTCTCTTTCAATTGAGAACATCATGAACTCTGCAAAACTATGTTGGTATTTAAATTATCATTTCAGCAAATACCTGATGGACTGAGACTTGTGAATACGTTCTGTTCTAAGAAGGCTTTACTGTTCTCTGCACTGCTTCAGTTGTAGGGCTTTTTGATTCCTTTAGTCCCTTCTCATTATAACTTGTATGGTGATACGGTCTCATTG